CAGTGGCTGTTGTGCAGCCCCCACCTGTCCCCTTGGCTGGGGGTCCCTGTCCTGCAGTGGGCACTGGCTGAGAGCAGCAGGAGGGGGACGGGTGGTCCCACCATTGAGCAGTTTTCACGGCAGGGGGGCCAGCGGGAGCGCCATGAGGGGCTTTGTCCTCCTCGCCATACCAGGGAGCGTGGCTCCGTCCAGAGAGGCACCACAGGGGAACGGGGTAAGCCCCTGTGCTGGAGAACAGTAGATCTGACCCTGCATGTCCCCTCACTGTCCCCCGGCCCCGCAGACGCGGAAGCTGTCGAAGACAGAGCGGCAGCGATTCAGCGAGGAGGTGGGGATGCAGCACCCCAACATTGTCCGCTTCTACGACTCCTGGAAGTCGTCCGTCAAAGGCCAGATCTGCATCGTGTTGGTCACCGAGCTCATGACGTCCGGCACCCTCAAAACGTGAGCATTGACCGCCTGGTCTGGGTGCACAGGGGATGGGGTCCCTGTGGTGACGGGCAGGAGAGGGACAGGGCAGGCTTGAAGTGGAGGGGGGCAGGGACAGGGGTGCTCACCCCCTGTATTCCCCGCAGTTACCTGAAGCGGTTCAAGGAGATGAAGCTGAAGGTGCTGCAGCGCTGGAGCCGGCAGATCCTCAAGGGGCTGCACTTCCTGCACACCCGCTCGCCCCCCATCATCCACCGTGACCTCAAGTGTGACAACATCTTCATCACGGGTCCCACAGGCTCTGTGAAGATCGGGGACCTGGGCCTGGCCACGCTGAAGCGAGCCTCCTTTGCCAAGAGCGTCATAGGTGGGGTCCCGGTGTGGCGTGGGGCTGCGGTGGAGGGGTGCCCCATGGTGCTGAACCCCGCTGCCGCCCCCAGGCACCCCCGAGTTCATGGCACCGGAGATGTACGAGGAGAAGTACGATGAGGCCGTGGACGTCTACGCCTTCGGGATGTGCATGCTGGAGATGGCCACCTCCGAGTACCCCTACTCCGAGTGTCAGAATGCCGCCCAGATCTACCGCAAGGTCACCTCGGTGAGTGGCCCCATGCTGGGGGTGACGCCGGTGGCTGTGTCATGGGTGTGGGGGTTGGTGTGAGGGGCTGGAGGGGCCGTTGGTGCTCAGCGCTTCCCAAAATGTGTCACTGTGTGGGTTATGCAAGCAGCTAAAGGCAGCCTGGTTGGTGAGAGGTGTGGTGCCAGAGCCATGGCTTGGCCAAACCCCGTGTCCCTTGCCCTGTGTCAG